GCAAGCCAGTAAGGAAACCTTGGTGGTTCAACGAAAGGACGCAGACAAATGTCTGCTACTGAGGAGTGTCTCCGCAAGCGAACGTCGAAGAATGAGGCACTGGTAAGAGAACCAGTGGGAAAGGAGGGTATATAACATTATGGGAGATAGGCGTTTTGGGGGGTTGGCGAACCCCATTGCATCTTCCCAGTCATTAGCTCCAATATCCCAAATACAAAGTTCATCCAACGAGCACAACCGAAATTATCATGCGGATAATATGGCTTGGCAAGTGCAACCGGACAATCAGGCGATGGAGAAAGAGCTCCATTCTTGTGCTAGCAGCAGGGAATATTGAAGCTAACGAGGCGCTTGATACGGGAGCACCAGGGGTCACCGGCCAGAAGAGGGCGTGACTGGATCCGGAGGATGGAAGATGTGAGGGCCGACATTACGCTCAAGGCAACAGCAGGCATCCGAGCACCCTGATTGAGTAAATGCCTGGTGTAGAGCCGCATCAGGGTCCGACTATTGTGGTTAGTCTCGGTCGAAATGAACAACAGAGGCAAATGCGATATACACTACTCACAACGTTTAGGCTCTGGCGGTGCTTGAATTTTAGCCTAAGTGGAGAAAGAGAAAGTAGTGCTTCATAGTCGAATGTAGCCTCGATAAAAGGTGGATATCAAATGAGCAGAGATCAATTTTCTGGACGGATAGAGGCCGGATGATGAGAGATGGATGGAGATAGCGAGGTGGGAATGGATGGCTGCCATGGACCTGGAGGCCTGCCTGGAGGGAAGCTAGTCTAGTCCTGGACCCTGCGGTGGGCGTGATCCTGGTATTGCGGTGACAATACCGTGTCCGTGTTATGTTTTAACCCCAGTTAGGGTTAGTGTCCATGTGGAAGTAGCTTGATCGGGACTAGCTAGGGGTCCCTGGTGGAACGCTGGTGGTCAGGAACACCAATCAAAGAGTCGGGATATAGAGCTTGACAGGCCACTGGTCAGGCTGGGAAACGTCCGGGCTAAACTTTGGGCTCCAATGTCTTACCTTCGCCTCTCGCCTTCTGATTGTTGTGATGGGGAGAAATGAAAAGTCAAATCATTAGACCGGACCCACGGAACGGCTCTTCTCCGTTGCTTAAGGCTCTCGGAGTTGACCGGATCATCCGATCGACAATCAGGAACTATTACTGTACAGAGTTGTGCAACTGCCAGTCGCTTTTTTTATGGTATGGGGCGGATGTTCAATTCAGAAGCAGGAAGAGTTGAGCCCGAATGGAAAAGTGAAAAGTCTGACAGGACAGATTTCTGGAGGAACGCCACCGACGAATATCCTCCTTAGCCGACAGTCCATTGGTCTTCTTTTCTCCTGGTCCAAATAATCACACCTTGACTAGATACTTTCTTAGTCGACCCATCCACCAGCCAGATACCCCACTAGGCCTCAAGCGGACTCCGACCGACCACGGACCTTCCTGGCTAGATGGGCCAGTGTACCTGTTCGTACAGAGGGGAACCACTGGGGGTAAGGGATTGGTGATTAGTAGCTTCCACTAAAACCAGGCGTTAAGCGACGTCGGAGTCATGCACCGGAAAACCGGAAATTGCACCTTTGATACTGCTCCTGTGAAGGGATTAGCGTGGTGCAATCTGGCGAGGAGTGGAAATGAACGGTCAGAAAGCCTTATGGCCAGTCCCAGCAACTCCCCGTTGTCTCTCAAAATCCATTGGTCGGTGGATACTACACCTATAAGGCACATAGACACAGAGTACGGTGTGAGACATTTATCCGTACCAGAAGTCTCACAGGGCGGGGATTGCTACTTTCAATCCGGTTGTGTCTCTCCACGTCTATGATCTCGTTCTCTCAGAGAGGCTTGTTTGTACGACAGGCAAAGCATATGTTTTACTGGCTGTGATTATAGTCGCGTACTACGCCGGGGAACAGTATGAAACCCCCGAGGATGACAAAACTAAAAGCTTGCAGGAATCTTTGTGCAATGGCATCGGCCTAGCTTGGCCAGAGACACGGTGGCATGCCATAAGAATCCGTGTTTCGCCGACAATGAACTCCTGCCGGGGAAGACGTGAAAGCCATATATGAACTAGCTACGGTTAGAGGCTGCGAGAACCTGCATGCTGACAGAGGAGAACCAAGTACACAGAAGAAGGAACAGGTACCCAACTACAATGCTGAAGCTAGGATGGCAATCTACCCAAGAAGGGGTTGACAATCCATGTGCTGCAGGGTAGCTAGGTTACACCTGCAGCAAAGGGTGCCACGTTACACACCGTTAGCTGCATGTGTCGCAAAGGGACGGCGTGGGACAGAGACCCCAGTATATTTCCGTGAGCTTTGGTTCATAATCCGATACGCATTTTGATGGACCTGGTCGAGGATAGCTCACTGCGCTATACTTTCCCTAAGATATAGTGGCTACTAGTACGTTCCTGCCACCCTCCTTATGAATTGGCCAAGAGTTCGACATGTGGGCAGTGATAGCATATGAGCATACTGATTAGTTCTATTTCAGGGTACCCCTGTTGCTTCTCCCTAAGACTTTGTCCAAAATACCTCCGTCAGTAGATCGCACATCAAAGTAATAGACCGTTTCCCCTCCTTCAACACAGCGTCCATAGCCAAGAATGGATGAGGCATGCCCTTCATAACCTGCAAATCCACCTGAACGCCAGCCTGCTTCAACTTTTCGGAATACTGTTCTCCCTCCGTTCGCAGCACATCCAGCTCACCCACCATGACTAAAGCCCGGGGCAGGGCAGACCAATCGCCCGTCCAGAACAAGGGGCTCGCCTCAGGGTTGTCCCAATCCTTTTGATTCGGCAGATAGTGGTTCCGATACCAGAGCATCTTTGCTGCGGGAAGGGCCGGTGTATGCTCGTACTCCTTATAGGCACGGTTCGTTTCCACGCTGGCCGTGTTATCCGTCACCGGTACGGAGAGCAGCTGTGCCTTGAAGCGAACAGGAGGCGACAGTGTCAGGGCTTTCTGGGTGATAATGCAAGCCAGGTTTCCACCCGCTGATGATCCACCGGTCGCGATCTTGCTGATATCGATGGGAAGCTGAGAGGGTCCTTGGGAAGTCAACCAGAGGAGAGCCTCCCAGCAGTCGTGGACGGCAGCGGGCCAGGGATGTTCAGGTGCGAGACTTTCGAAGAATATTTTATTAGTATTTCATTCTGCTCAATCGCACACATATACTCTCGGGATAGTGCTTACCGGTAATCCACCGTCACCACGACACAGCGACCCCTCACACAGAGATTCGAGCAGACCGGATTCTCCGTGTCAATATTCCCCAGTACCCATCCACCGCCATGGAAATACAGCATGACCGGCCATCCGGATGCCGGGGCAGCGCCTTCTGGCACAAACACACGCACAGGAACTTCTGGGCCCTCTGTGACGCGACGTGGAAGACGAAGGTCAATGGTCTGCCCAACAGGCAGAACGGGACCCCCGCCTGGGATCAGGACGCCGCTCGATCGCGAGGCCGCAACAGGCTGCAGATGGACCTGCTGCTGTTTCATCACATACTGGTTGTAGAATGCGACATATTCGGGATCGAGTTTGTCCTGCACCGAGGGGTGGAGGGGGTATGGGGGTTGAGGATTGGTAAGGGACATGATGAAAGTGGTAGGTCACTGATCGATTGATTTCGCTCTTTACAGATTGAAGGTGTCGGTTGTGTTCGAAGAAGGAAAGGAAAGGAATTGGTAACTCTATCCTATCTATCAGACTATCAATGCCAGCCTCCGTGTTGTATTCCTCGGTTACATCGCGGTCAGTGTCCGAGCGCAAGGGATCAACGAGGGGATGCATTCCGGCTCGACTTTCCTGTTTGTGTTCCTTTCCCCTCACGGCTGGTTGATGATCCTGATAACGAGGAGGAACTTACTGACTAACCCGCGATAAGAGAGATCCTTCCAGTTCCGTCCCCTCACCCTTTCCCCACCCCCACCACTCAAACCACTGACAGCTTCAGTGGTAGCGAGGCGAGCAAAAAGGCAGTATCCCAAGTGGGAGCTCTTGAAGAGCGAAGCTACCCGCGTAAGAGGGGTTTGTAGTAGTCATGACTCATAGATCTGCTGTCCAAATTGTCGGTTCAATTCAAGTTCGTATATAAATAACCTGACAGCGTCAAAACAATCCATATCTCCTTCAAACACAATACTTCATCAACTCCAGCATAAATCAATCGAACGAAAAGCAATATCAAGCATACTATCAAAATGGCCACCAAAACCCCCATCACAACCGACAAAGCCCCCAAGGCCCTCCCCGGCATCTATTCCCAAGCCATTGTCTCCAACGGCGTCGTCTACTGCTCTGGCTCGGTAGCTATGGACGCAGAAACCGGCAAGATCATTGATGGCGATATCAAAGCGCACACGGTACATACATAACTATCAGCCATCTTTCCTTTCTCTCACCGACCCACGTCCTACAACATTCCGCTAATCATCTCGCTGGTAAAAAACAATAGCATCAATGCATCAAAAACCTCGGAAACGTTCTCGAAGCTGCCGGTAGCGATCTCACCAAGGTCCTCAAGGTTACTGTGTTCTTGTCGAATATGGATGACTTTGCCGAGATGAATTCCGTCTATGTGCAGTACTGGGGGGATGTTAAGCCTTGTCGGACGTGAGTTTGTTCATTCTTTTCATATTTTTCCCTTGCTCTGTTTCTGTGTTGGTTTTATGGATGTGGGGGAGGGTTTGGCATTGGGATACAAGTAGGGGAGTATTATGGCTGACTTATGTTGATTGGATCGGTAGATGCGTGGCGGTTAAGACTTTGCCCCTGAATACGGATATCGAGATTGAGTGTATTGCTCATCAGTAGAGGATATATATTTATATCAGGTGATGAGAGTGCCTGATGGGGAAAACAAAAATTATATCAGCAAGAAGTTATACTCCGCCCACGGCGCTTGTTGTTCAAAATGCTCAAAAATATATTATGTATATATGAAATCTACAGAGAATGGATGCGAAGAATGCGATGCTGCCAAGGAAGCATCTTGAAATCAATGTGAGCAAGCTCAAATCCACAAAGGAATAAGACGATCGGAGACTATAGTCTAAAGTAATCAAGGAGAAAATTACTGCTCAATAGTCTCCGAAATACTTCTGGCGAGTTCGTTCCATTGCTAGTTCGTCCGGCAAAGGAGTGATGAACTTATCGATTTCATTGATCCAAAACGAGTTCTGAGGATTGACTTGGCAAGCTGTAGTATATTCCCAATAAGACGGATACCAGCCCGCAGTCTCCCAGTCGACAATTCCAACAATCGTATCCCCGCGGGCCAGAATATTGAGGCTACTGAGATCGCCATGTGTAAATGCAATAGGAAAAGATTGATCGTGTTGTCTGATCAACTCTTGTACTGCCGCATCAAGCCTTGGATCGAAATCCATCCCACCTCGCAAATGTCGATGGAATTCCTGGACACTGGCAAAAGGCCCAAACCGTAGGGAAGTGCCCGGCACACGACCATCGTAGAGCGACCCGTCCACAACAGAGCCCACACCCATACCTACTGGGGGTGGGAGTTTTCGCATCTCCTCGACCATACTCTTTAATTGAGTAAGAATCTTTGCCTTTGACTCCTCACTGCGATGAACCCATCCGGCACCAATGTAATTCCCTTTGATTCTCTCCATCACTATGTAGGTGCAATTCCGATGTGTAAAGGCGCAGAGGACTTGGGGAACTGGTATAGATGTTTTTGTGAGATAAAACGCATAGTAAGTGCCTCTGTCAAGTCTACGAGTTTTCCGTATTTGACACAGATCCGATCTGTTAACATCAGAACGCTTCCTTCAAAGGGGCGTATTTTCCGGAGAGTTGCAATCGCAAAGAGGATGATATGCCTGTACAAGGCGCAGTCGTTGATTGGACCCAGCTTTGGGACATCGGGCATTCTGAGTATGCAATTCGGGTAAAAGTCCCGTCTGGCTGATTATACGGTCAATCAGTCTGGGTTCGCCTGTGGTTTAGTGATGGATTGATTTCTTTGACGATGCGGAAAGCGAATTGGGAAGCACTGAACACGTGATGGCCATGGCTGGGTTACTACTACTAGCTAGTAGGTAGTACTGTAGTCATAGGCTCTAGTCAACATCTACAACGCAGTCATGGGCTACTGTAACTGCTACAGGTACGATAATCATTAGGCCCGGCAGAATAATATGCCTAGAATTACAAGCAATTGAACTACGTACCCAGTAGAGATAAGTATCGGAATAGTGAGATTCCCCAAGAATGCTGCCGCCTACTTACTTCCAGAAGATACGGCTTGACCAAACACGCGTATAGGAGTCTCAACAAACACGAACTCAAAGAGTAAACAATAAACACAAACATTAACCTTCCCGCGCGCGCCGTCCGTCCGCCCGAACCATCATCGAGTTTGGGGCTTAATCAAAATGAACAATGCGGTGGGACTGATAAAACCCGGAATGTAGCCGGTTTGGGGCAAGTTTCACGCCTTCAGCTTCCACAAGAGAGGCCTTGGCATGTGGGAGAATTCCAGTGGATCCCTCTTTTGGATGAGCATCACCTTGATAGTATGCAACTGATTATGGCACTTGCATACTACTAGCAGTACTATGACCAGCAATTCGTTATCTTCTGGTATTCTGTTGTTTTGCTATAAATAAATAAATGTCATATGGAGGACTCTGTATAGGCAGCCACAAATTCCATATGTGCTTAGCGATACCTCGTATGTGGTAGCATGTTTTGTCAACAAATAAAGTACTCAAATTGTAGATTGGGGCTGCGCGAGTCGGACAGATGTATTAGGAAGCTTGTTGAAGAAATGGAATGACGGAGGGGACCAGGGATATAGATCATGATGGCAGGATATTGTCGACGATATGAATGGTTGGTGTGAGCTGTATAGCAGTTGCAATGAGTATAGTATATATATTGCCTCTTCATATATAACTATGACTTCAATGTTGTACGTGATTCATAGCGTGACATTTCAGCATTTGATCAGAACACTCTAATGACTTCCAAGACACTGAATGATCTATAACTCTGGCATATCCGTTCCATGAATACTATAAAGAATATGTGATGAGGGCGCACATCACAGCATATACATATGGTATAACACTCTGCAGCCGGGAATTGGACGAGCACTCTCACACATGGAAAATATGCTGTAGATAGATCATAGCCCTTAGAGCCCAGTGATAAAATTAGTCAACGGGAACATGTTCAGGCTATTCGCTGAGAGCATAGTGCTAGATTGCCGAATGGTGAGAGTGGATAGCGCCAGGTGAGATTCCGCTCCACCACTTCTGTTATTGATGAACATCATATCTCAAAATTGAACGCCTACCAGGTGCTCTGCATTCAATATGAGTAATGTAAATAGCACTACAGGACATGGCCAATTGTAGATCAGTTTCGGAGACCCGCCTCAATGCATGGATCTTCTAGGGTTTATAAAGGCAGGCGATGACGCCATAGCGCAAATGAACCACCTGCAAACCACCCTGCTGGCCCAAATCAATTAGAACTATAGGGAACCCATTTTACCGGTATGAAGTGACTCAGGGAGTAGAGAAATCAGTTCCTGTTCCCAGCCCTTCATGCTTTTATTTGTCGGCGTTACTTGGGTGCCCGTATAAATAAACTTGTAGTAGGGTCTTTCCTTGCAGAAACCTCACCAGAGGGGAAAGGAGGCAAGACAGGTAGGATGAGACGAGGGACAGAAGGGAAGAGAGGAGAAAAGGCGAGAAAGTTGGAGCGAGTGACTCCCTGTGAGCCTGCTGCCCATCACGTGTCCCATCCCTTTCATCGTTTTCAACCACATCATGGCGATGGAGTCCCTTTCGGCTCCTCGCTCATCCCTAGCCTTATCTATCTGCAGCCCTGGATTCTGCATCGCATCCTGCATTCTATGCTTGACCACTCTGTCTCCTACCTGCGCCCACTTTAGCTTTGATAACCCGCGTTTACCACGCGATGATGACGTTGGGATTCAATCGCGGTTTACTCAAGGAGAAAATTCGCTTTATTACTCACTCCCAGGGCTAACACTCGATCCCTGATGGAACATAATTTGCAATTGAATCCCAAGGATGTGCATAATAGCTCCGATGACTAACACTCAACAGGAGAATAGGGGCAAACTATTGTAGTCGCGCGATGGCCCAATGACCGCGGATGCCAGTTTAGTCTGCATTCCTCAAGGACAGCTCTCCCATATCAGGCAGTGACAACAAACACCACAGGCCATATTCCTACCAATTCCCTATTCTGCTAGTGGGCATGCCTCGGAATCGCCCATTCCAACCCCTCGGGCCTCCGCGTTCACGCGCGAGGCAATTCATTCAGCATATACATCCTTTTAGTCGGCCATCGCCCATTGTTTTGCTTCTCTTCCATTGTTTCCCCGTCGCGTTTACCATCCACATGTTCTTTATGGGCTGCACCTACCTAGCCTTTCCGACACATCGATTCTCATCATCACTAACCTCTCAGACCACTGGATGCTTGGCGAATCTTGTTAACCAAAGCCGTAGCGCAGCTGGTTCCAGCTACTCTCGACGCGGTCCATCATGTTCAACCGTTCGATTGCCTCCCCAAAAGGAGGCGTTTGGACCAAGGTAGTGATATTCATCTCGTTATATGTCATGCTCCTCGACTCCTTCATGGAATGGGCCATCGTGCTTTACCTGTATGGGATCCGCCGTGTGGACTCAAAGATGACCCCGAGCTTGATACTGGCTCTTGTCGCGGTAAGTCTCTGCCTTGACCTGGACGGCTGGTAAAGATGCTGACGGATACCAGTCATTCTTCACCGTTCCTCTTGTCGCTCTGCACAGCCTCCTTGCCTGGCAATACAACAAGGTTGTAGGATTCGCGAGTCAGAAAGCTTTGCTGAATGCCGCTTGTACCTACATCCTGCGACTGACGATACTTATTTGGATCGCTGCCAGCGCAGCAGGACTAGTGCTCGTTTCGCAGCAGGTGTACTGCCTAGCGGATGATGGTGGTGGTGACTTCTGGAAGATCGGTATCAGCTGCGCGCTTCAACGGGCTTCTGTTATTGTTTCCATCATATCATTGTATGTCTGCTGGCCCAAATTCCGGATGTGCTTACTGACTAGCAGCAGCGTGACTGTGTGTCTTTTCTTCTGCTCAAGGGAACTCTGCGAGCGTCCGTACGATATCTCTCTTCTCGGTGTATACAAGCCACAACTATCGACATGCGATGACAAAATGTCTGCCAGCTCAACGATGGGAAGCCATGTCAGTCTGGAAAATGACATCTATCACGTTTGCCGTCGACCTGATGTGACATTTGGGCGAGACCTGTACCTGTCATCTAGCAGCAACTCCATATGTAAAGCTGGTAGCATTGATCATCCTGCCTCCATACATGAGAAACCCCAGTTGAAGCTCGACACAAAATGTGAATCAGAGGGCTCAGGCATTTATTCTGGAACTACACTCTCTGTCGATGGCACGCCATCCAAAAATTCTTCCAGGGATGGAACAAACTCCGATGTCAGTTCAAATGCCTCGGTTACACCTCCCAAAGCCACGTTAAGGGCTCCTTATGACCCTTATCGTCAGGCTGTACTGGCAGAACTCCCAGGATCCCCAAATTTCAGACATAGAAGGCACCAACCCTATGGATCTCCTTTCCGACTCCTTCCCAAGGTTTTCGCAAGTCAGATCTCGTTGTCATCGGACCCTGAAATCCTTGCTCTCGCTGGTCCCGATGCTGTTGCGGACGTTGAGCAACCAGCAGAGGAGCACTCAACAGACAACATCGAGCCACCGCCGACTCCCAAAAGGGAATATGCTCCTGGACACCCACTGGCCTCTTCCCCTGTGGAACTTCCATTCCCCTCCTCTCCTCCCGTGGAGAGGTCTTTATTTTCCATGACGACCAGTAACCCTGAGCTTAAAACTAGTCGATCTGAAGGAAGCACGCTTCCACGATCAATATCAAGCAGCTCCGCCGACGCCCCCGAAGTTGTCGCACCAGAGCCACTCAGGGTTCAGAGATCCAATACGTCACACACAGCTCCAATAACTAGCCAGTACAACTTCTCTCGGCCCAAACCTCCGGTCGTACCTCCGATTCCACCACGACAGCCGAATCACAGCTACCATGGCTCTCTATCACAGCACGGACGATCCAGACGCCAAAACTCAATTCGTTCGAGCGGACGACGAAGCCAAGTCTACCGATTTGAAGCATGCCAGATCCCGCGACACACACAAAGCCAGTATTATCCCCAGCAAAGCCGCTACGCTCGTCGATCGTATTTTGACACCCACCGTCGAATGCCCTCACGGCGGCGTCGAAATGACGTCGAAATCGTATACTCCAGCACCCGGCGGCCCCGCAGCAACACCTGTGGAGGGTTCGGCACAACATCCAGTTTAGACTGTATCCGCGAGTCTGGCGCCTCTGTTGATGAACCGGAAGACATCTTCGCTGATGGAAACACGTATAGAGGTACCACGCGAACTACTAGTGCCCACGGCATGTACGCATTTTGAACTGAAGTCTGCGGGTCGGACTGGCTATGATTTAATCGGCTCTATTATCACGTTCTTATTGGCTCATGATTGATATAAAATGTATACTAGCACGCTTTCTTTTTTTTCCTTTGTTTACCTTTCTTGCCATATACTATTTGATTGAATACTATTATGATTTTATTCTTCTGCTTGCTACTAGTTCTTCTGTACTATGCAATTGTCATCACATATTACACTCTTTTCGGATCAATTGAAATGTAGGATCAGATTAACTACCATGTTATGTACGTCTCAAACCCGACCATTCGAAAACAACCCCAAACGCCACAGGACAAGAAACTAAAGCAATAACCCCCTTATACAGCACACAACACAACACCGGCACCTTCAGCCCAACCGTTTGTAAATGTATATACCCGAGACACCATAGAAGACCCCAGTCCTAGATAGTAATGCCGCAATC